CCCCCAGCCTGTGGCAGGGAGACACCCCCCTCCTCAGACACAGGCCGGGCCCTGCTCCTGAGGGAACCCCGAGTCGACTTTCGAGACGTCATTTAGCCCTCCTGGGGGCCTGCTTGCTTCCCTCAAGCTGGCAGATGGTGTCCAGGGAAGAAAAGCACACCTGCGCAGTGGCCGCTCAGCCCCGGACAGCACACGGGCCACAACGAGCCCATCACCCTGCCCCGCGGGCGCCTGCACCCAGCTCCCTCGGACGTGGGAGAGCCTTGGCCGACAGCCTGGTAGCAGCTGAGCCCCACGTGCTGCGGGGTCTTCCCCAGATACTCGCCGCAGCAGACACTGAGGCTGGCCTTCCCGAAGCCACCCTGGATGAGAGCTGAGGTCAGTGAGGCCGTGGTCAAGCTGTGCAGCCCATGGGCGCCGACGTGCCAGTGTCCACCCCTCACCTCCCCTAGGGGTCCCCATGCCGTGTCTGTGGGACTGAGCCAAGACCCCCACCCCCGTGCTCCCTGGGCATTGGGCAGCATGTGGACAGAGGCTGGGATCCCTGCTTCCTGTTCCCCCCACCTCAGAGCCACGTGGGAACAAGCCCACACGCTCCCCGCGGTGCCCAGCCTGGCAGCCTCCCTCCCCTGCGGGGCGCCCCCCCACCCCCGAGGCCTCAGAAGGAGAAAGCCTGAGTCCCTCGCCTACACCGCTCCAGCTCTCGCCTGCCAGCTCAGCACCGCCTCGGCCTCCTCTGCCTCGGCCAGTGTGGGCTGACCGACGCCCACCCTGTGAGGGGCCCACGCCTGCTGCCCTCTCCCAGCCAGCACCTCCAGCACCTGCTGGCACACCCGGCTTTGGTCCACACGCCGCGCCAGCCTCCAGGAGGAGACCGCAGGGAGGTCCTGAGAGGTGCAGTGGAGGGTGGGGCACGCCCTGCAGGCAGGCAGGCCTGTCACCATCTCCCCAGGAGGCGCTCGCTCCCCGGGCCTGCAGCTCGAGTTCCCTTCTTACCCACGAGGCCGTGCACGACCTGGCGTGGAGGAGGACCTCAGCTCAGGGTGTGGGCCACACAGTCTCACGTTAGCCCAGCAGGAGACGCGAACTCCGGCTGTCTCCAAAGCCGCGTTGGCAAACTCTGGGAACTGCTGTGGTGCGCGTGCAAGGATGGAAGGTGGCCGCCAACCTCCCTGCTCTGATTCTGAGTCCTCAGGGGAGCCGCTTGCTTTAGAGACCCATCGGCTCACAGTCCAGGCGACGACCAAACGCAGGCGCCACCTTGGTGTGCGGGCCCAGGCATGCGCGGGTCCAGGCGTGTGGGCCAGATGCGTGTGGGCCAGGTGCATGCAGGGCCAGGCGCATGCGGGGCCAGGCACATGCGGGCGCCTTATGACTTCAGGTCTGGGCTGGGTGCTGGCCATAAGAGGGTGACCAGCTGGCCTCCGTGACAGCAGAGAACAGAGCATAGGCCCTGGCTCTGTGAGACTGATGGCTTCCCGAGACGCAGCGATGCAGAGACACGCCACCAGGTGAGACCCACAGAACAGCGCCAGGCTGCCCACCACCGCCAGGAGTCCAAGCACTGGTCGCCAAGGCATGTCCCCGTGGTTTAGGTATGACAGGGGGTGTCTGCGGATGAGTGGGCCAGGTGGCAGACGGTGCAGTGACAGGGTTGTCTGCGATGACACGCCTGCCTAGGACCTGCAGATTCTGCAGCCTGGAGCCAGGGTCCACGCTGGGGGAGCGTGAGCCCACAGCACGCCGGCCCACCCCTCCCACAGCCCGAGCTGTGCCGCAGCCCCGACGTCACCGGGTGCGGTCTCAAGTTCCAGCCGAAGGGCTGATGGACAGCACTCGTAACCCCAGAGACGCTGGAGCCCGGCTGACGACATGGGTCCTCGCTAACTCCCGGGGACATCGGAGCGTGGCTATGACATGGTGTCGTGGCCCCTCTAAATCCCGGGGACGTTGGAGCATGGCTGACGACATGTGTGGCCCTCTGGAGGCATTCTGGAGTGGATTCCAGGCAAATGGCACAGGAAGCCCCAGCGGGCCAGGTCGTACAGGGGACCAGAGTGCGGACCAGGCGCGGGCGAGGGCTGGCGGCTCCCGGAGCTCGCAGAGAAGCGTTCTCACACAGACCCGGGCAGGGCCGGGATTTGCTGTCCCACTCGTCGGACCTCGGGCCCAGCAGCTGCTGAGAGGCCCAGGCCCCGCAGAGGTCTGGGGCAGAGACCCAGGGCGAGAGGCACGGAGGCAGGGACTCTGTAGGGGGTGCTCCCTGAGACTCTCTGGGCGGGGAGCCACGGCCACAGAGGACCCCGAAGGCTCTCAGTCTAAGGTGGCGGGGGAGGGGGACACGCGCTGTGGGGAGAAATGGCGTTGTGGGCGAAGTGGAAGCGGCTGACAAAAATAGGCCTCCTGGGCTTTCTGCTGACTTAACCCCTTCCCTCCGCGCAGAGTCAGCCGAAGCATCGGCCGTGCCTGCCCCTTCCCTGGGTGGGCAGGCCGGGCAGGGCTGAGTAGGGCCGGGCCTGCAGACGTCCAGGACCTCCCAAGGCCCACACACAGCCCTGCTGGGAAGGCAGGGGTCCCAGCACAGGGAGCCCGTGCCCCGCGCGGCCTCCTCGGCCTTCCCTGCACTGAGCGGGGCGCTAACTTGCGCCTCCCACACGTGGCGTGGGGACACGCGCAGCCCGCCGGAGGGCTGCTCCCGGTCAGTGGCCCCGAGGGCTGCACCGCTGTGCACCTGCAGTGGCCTCCGCCTGCCAGGGCCGGCCCGCCTCAGGGCAGAGCCCCCGCACGCCTGCCGCAGGCCCCCAGCAGGACCGCGCCACACAGTCGGGGAGGGCGGGGTGGCCAGCCGGCGGCACTTACCGCGATGCGCAGGACCGAGGCCTTCACGGAGGTCCATCTGTCCTGCCTCCGGTCTATGACCAGGATGAAGCCGACGCCGGCATCCTGCAAGCTGGAACGAGCAGGAGGCCTCGGTTAGTGCGAGGGAGGAGGCCGGCTGCCCCGAATCCGAGGAAGCTGCACGGGGGCCGCCCTCCCGCGAGCCTCACGCCATTGCTGCACAGAGCAAGGGTCTCGGCAGGGCGCACCGCCATGGGCACGGGCAGCCAGGCCTCCCCGTCCAGGCGCGGTCCTAACAGAGAGGACAGCCGTTTCCAGCGTGCCGTGTCCTGCTCGGCCCCGGGCAGGGCCCCGTGGCCAGAGCCGTGTCGCCGTCCTTCCCGGGGGAGCGAGCCTCACGCACACGCTGCCACCCCACGCCCCGTCAGCCCCAGCATCTGCCGTCCCCGTGTCTGTCCACCCTAAGAAACCACGTGTGAGGGCACTGCCGCCACTCGGGGAGGAGAGCCCGAGGCCTCCGGAGGCTCGTAAGCATCTGCCGGAAACGGGAGACGGGAACTCGCACTTCACAGCAGCGTTCCCGGGGGAGCGAGCCTCACGCACACGCTGCCACCCCACGCCCCGTCAGCCCCAGCATCTGCCGTCCCCGTGTCTGTCCACCCTAAGAAACCACGTGTGAGGGCACTGCCGCCACTCGGGGAGGAGAGCCCGAGGCCTCCGGAGGCTCGTAAGCATCTGCCGGAAACGGGAGACGGGAACTCGCACTTCACAGCAGCGACGTCTGTGATGAGCCGGCGCTCGAGCAGTGTCATCACGCCGCCTCGGCTCAGGCTGAGTCACCGTCGACGGCGGAGGGAGTCGCCTGGGTGCCTGGCATCTCACCAGCCAGTCCTGGCAGCCGTGCAGAGACAGGCTGGCCCCAGGCTCTGACCTGAATCGGTCGTTTCCAAACGTCCAGGCACATTCGAGCGGGCAATTCTGGTCCACGTCAGGATTCAGAGAGAATCACCCAGGGCACATGTGAGCTACGCAGCCAGTCACCGACGAGGCTGGCCCGCCTGCCGGACCCAACTCTGGGTGGCTGCTGGGTGCGCGCTGCTGGCTGTGCACACTGGGTGACAGCTCCGGGGCTCTGTGGTGACCGGACCCCCGCAACAGCATGGCGCTTCTGGGTAAGGGCATGTGCTCATGCGCTCGCATATACATGTGCACACACATGCACACCACACATGCGCACACACGCACCACACACAGTTCACACACACATAGACACACACAAATGGACACATATGTAAACACAAACACACACGCACAATATTCACATACATACACCTGCACACACATGCAAAAATACACACATGGGGGGACCAGCCGTTAGCATAATGGCTATGTCGCTGGACTCCCACGTAGTCGAGCGCGGTTCGAGTCCCAGACCCGGTGGCTTAAACTCACGCAGGGTAAGTGTGCGTGTGTGCCCAAGATCCTGAGAGGAGAATGGAGGAGAAGGGATTGCAGTATGGCCATCCCCCCTGGGGGGTGATTTCTCGCTTTCTGTCGGTCTCTGTCTGTCTGGCAAGCGCATGCGCCCTATAGTAAAAATCTCTCCTCCCCCAAAAATACACATATGGGCACACAGGCACACATACAGGCATAAATGCACACACATACACACATGTACACACACATACATACACACATGCACATGTGCACACCCAGGCACACACGCATATATGCACACATGCACACTGGCTTCTATTTGGATCCCCTCTGCTCCCCTGTGGCCTGGGCTCGAGCCAGGCAGTGCCGTCGGTGCACGCTGACCAGCAGGTGATCTGGGTCCAGACCTGGCTGTGTCCTTGTCTACGTCTTGGTCCGAGCGTTCTGACCACCTTCTGAAGTGTGAGCTCAGAGTAGGTGCAGCAAATCCCACTTCCTGTCCGGAGATGATCCGGCCATGTCCCCAGGGCACCCTGCATCCCCCTCACACGGTCCCTTCACGCCGTCCCCTGCTGGCGGGCCCAAGTGTGCCTGCTGAGGTTGTGTGGGCACGTGTGATTCTGCTGTCCTGCCCAACCCGCACCCTCAGGGCCTGCCCACGGCTAGGCTGGGCAGGCAGGAGCGGGGACTGTGGGCCAAGTGGGCTCTGTCCACTCGCAGGTGCCTGTGGAGGGGCGGCCAACCCCCCTTGCCTCACACGGGCCCAAGTTCCACGCTGTTCCCCGCAACGCGCATGACGCCTCTCTGGCAAGTGGGTTTCGGAAGTGCTGGGGCCCGAAGGTGTTTCCGTCAGGCCAGTTGGGGGACCCTGCATGGCCCGGCTGTGGGAGGACTGATGGGGCTCCTGCCACAGGTGGGAGACCCACGCTGCCACTGCCCTCTGCCACAGGTGGGAGCCACACGCTGCCACTGCCATGAGCGCGGGTCCTGGAGGGCGTCTCCTGGACAGCTGCTCGCCCTGAGCCGTTTCTGTGGCCCCCGTGCACAAGGCGGGGGGGATGACACTGTCTCCTAGGACACTCCCTCCTGTGGTCCCAGATCAGCCAGGTTTGCCCTGGAGCTCTGGGACACCGCGCAGGGCCCGCGCCCCACGACCTCAGCACACACGGGGACCCAAGCACCCACATCTTGTTAGTGTGTCCGCGACCGCCCGACCAGGGAGCCAGGTGCTGTGGTCACAGGGAGATGGACATGTTCCAGCCCCAGTCCCCCAGGCAGGGCTTCCCACTCTGTTACATGGGACGCCCAAGTGCAGGAGCGGTCCACACCGAGCCGTATGTCACACGTGGTGTGCCACCTTGGCTGCTGGGACACGCCACATGTGAGTGAGGGACAGACTGACCCAAGCAGGAAGGAGACACGCCATTTTACATGCATGAACACAATCTGGCCACTAGCACCACCATGTGGTCAGAGCTGAAAATGGCACACGCCAAGAGGATGGGTGGGGTGGATGGCCCCTCCAGAAGGGAAGCTGTTTAGGGGGCTATGACTGGGGACTGCTCAGGCTTAGGGGGCTATGACCGGGGACCACTCAGGCTTAGGGAGCTATGACCAGGGACCGCTCAGGCTTGGGGGGCTATGACCGGGGACCGCACAGGCTTGGGGGGCTGTGAATGGGGACCGGTCCGGCTTGGGTG